AAGAGAGAAAAGTGTCCGTGGAAGATGAAAACTCATTCCAGATCAAAGAGATCAATTCTAAAACTCATTAACAATTCATCCAGTTTAAACAAAGAAAATCACGACCATGAATATGTGATCTAATTAGTAACAATTTTTTTGCGATTTTATTTCTCCGTTTTCTCCTAATTTTAGTTTCGATTAAGAAACACTCAAGACAATTTTTGACCACATTTCCAAACACCTCGAAGTTCGTCAAAAGTACTCCGCTACGCATCGTATTTTCAGTTCTCTTCTCGGTATCTGAAATGTGATCAAACACGGTTTTTCGCATTTGATATATTACATCGTGATTACAGCAAATCCTTATCTTCCGGGATTGCTGTTCAGCGGTGCGAACCCAAAAAGCGTTTTTTATTTTCCGAAACCGAATTTTACCGATTTCTTATCGCTTTCATTGTTTTGTCTTTTTGTTTTTTGTTTACAAAAGCATAATTTTTGGACAAACTGGCCCGGCCCTGGAAAATGTGCTCGATAGTCGTAGAATATGCTACAGATAAAATGCAATATGCTTGATATTCATCTAACACCTGCTACATGTTTACTTCGCGCATGAATTATCACTGAGTGAAGGTGTCCGTATCTCGCTTGCCACGCCCATCGGAAGCCTGCTGAAGCTGGGTTAGACTACGAGTAGTCCCTCTTTCGCTTAGTCCGTCGTACGTGACGCAAAAGAAAACCGCGCGAAAAAATGGCCGCGCGAATTCCTGGGGGCTTCGCGCAGCTATTTTTTTTTTTTCGAAGTTTTCTTTCGCGTCACCCACGATGGACTAAGCGAATGAGGGACTACTCGTAGTCTAAAGCTGGGTCTGCTGCTCTGACTAGTCTTGTGATATCAGCCTCATATGGTTGAATTTAATGCCAAATACAGTAAATATTTAATGGGTGCGTTTCAGCGAAATACCAGGCTTGTCTAGCTGCTTTCGCTATGAGGCATACGAACTATGTCTTGGTCAAAGTGAAAACAATGCAACATTGCAAAAAAAAATTATTTACCGATAATTCAGAAACCATCAACATTTCTTAGCATTGCAAACAACATTAACAATAACGAACTGCTAATTAATACCTCTTTAAGGCAAGTAGACCATTTGTTGATGATGAACTGACAATATGATATATTCATAATAAATTAATGATAATCATTAATTATTTAATATTTATTATTTATCAACTTCAGCTGATCATGAATCGCCTGGTTATTTTGCTCTTGGTTGCGACGGTTGCCATGGCAATGTTTGCTGCTCCAACTGAAGGTATCATTACATTCATGACTTAATTTTTTCTTAAATCGCAAATGTCTAGCTATAAGAAAAGTAACATTATAAACATGGACAAATTTCAGCATGTTGATTGGCTATGAGCACGTCAGTTAATCCCAAACAGTGCGGGAAAATGAAATTGAGAAAAAAAGTTAAAATTGAGTGCCAAAAGTTGAAATTAAATTACATGTACATTATTAACAAGAAATCAAATGATTTTTCTCGTGCAAGTTGGAGTTAATATGCACTCGTGGATTTTTCAAAGACCACAAATTGCACTCACCCTACGGGCTCGTGCACATTTTTAGTCTTTGAACGATTTACTTGTGCTTATTTTTTCCAAATTTCACTCAGAATCATTTAATTACTTATACTAATCAACGACCCAGTTTACATAAGTTTAATTAGTTTGATTAATTAATTAATTAATTTATTTATTATCGAACTGATAGAATTACTTCATTGTGATTGACTGAGAGCACGCCAATTTATAATTAACTTTTAATTTGCACTGCAGAGCAAATTAACACGCGCGCTTTCGTGATTTTTCCGGTCCAGTCATATAATAAATAAGTAATCGTATGAAGGCTCCAGCAATAGACCAATTTCGATATATTAAAATTCAGCCTAAAACAATAGGCCTCAGTACGAGGCTCTGGGGAATAACTACGGGGTTTGTGGGCTTTATTCTCTCAGAGCCTCGTGCTGAGGTCTATTGTGTTGGGCGGAATTTTAATATATCGAAATTTACACAGCTCGTGATATTTGAAAATTCTTTCAAATTGCACTCGCCTAAAAGCTCGTGCAATTTTGAGAGAATTTTCAAATATCACTCGTAGTGTAAATCTTTAATTGCA